GTGGTAACAGGCTTCATAGGAGTGTAATGTGAATCAAGCCTTGAAAAACAGGTAATATTTCAATATTTGACATTTAAAGTGAAAGGAAAATAGCTGGGAAGTGGCTCACACCCATAATCTGCACACTTTGGGAGCTCAGAAGTTCAAGACCGGCCTGGGCAATATGGTGAGACCCCATCTATACAAAAAATACACACAAAAATTAGCCAGGTGGGTGTTGCAGGCCAGTGGTCCCCAATACTCAGGAGGATTACTTGAGCCTAGAAGGTGGAGATTGCAATGAGAGACAAGATCGTGCCAGTGCACTCCAGCCTGAGTGACAGAACAAGACTCTGTCTCAAAAAAAAAGAAAAAGGCCAGGCATGGTGGCTCACACCTATAATCCCAGCACTTTGGAGGCCGAGGCAGGCAGATAATCTGAGGTTGGGAGGTCGAGACCAGCCTGACCAACATGGAGAAACCCTGTCTCTACTAAAAATACAAAAAAAAAAAAAAAAAAAAAAAAAAAAAAATTAGCTGGGCATGGTGGCACACACCTGTAATCTCAGCTACTTGGGAGGCTGAGGCAGGAGAATCACTTGAACCCAGGAGGCTGAGGTTACAATGAGCTGAGATTGTGCCATTGCACTCCAGCCTGGGCAACAAAGCAAAAACTCTATCTCAAAAAAAAAAAAAAAAGAAAGAAAGAAAGAAAGAAACTGATGCCTGGGCCCCAATTCCAGAGACTCTGATTTAATTGGTTTGCTGGCCTTTGAGTTTTAAAAATTCCAGGTTGTTCTTAGGTGCAACCCAGTGTGAGAATCAGTGGTATAAAGAAAGACAGGCCCAACAGATCCATGCAAAGCACCTAATTTAGGGGTCAGAATGAGAAATAAATGCAAAAAGAACTAGAGAAGGGAAGAGAGGGATGGTTAATAATATTAAATGCTGCAGAAAAATTCAGGCTGATGACAGCTAAAACAGGTCTTTCATTTGTCACCCCGTCAGCTGTAAGAAAACAATTTCAGTAGAGAGGGGGAGGGCTGAAGCCAGCTTGCAAAAGGCGAAGCAAGTGGGAACTGAAAATGTCTTCCTAGGGCCTTGGCTGGGAAGGGAGGAACAGAGAAAGGACAGTGGCTTTATAAGGAACCTAGAACAATGACAAGGATAAAGGAAACTTTGAGAAGAGAAATTGAATATCTAAGTAGGGAGGAGAGGACACTGGTAAAATAAGCAGAAGGGGATGGGATTAATTATGTAGGAGTCTAGGTTGGCCTTGGAGAAACAGGATTTCCTTCTTACCCTGAGGCTGGAGAAAGAGATAAAGGAAAAGAGAACAATAAAGAGAAATGGTGATGGGAGGCTGAGGCGGGCAGATAATGAGGTCAAGAGATCGAGACCATCCTGGCCAACATGGTGAAACCCCGTCTCTACTAAAAATACAAAAATTAGCCGGGCATGGTTGCACATGCCTGTAGTCCCAGCTACTCAGGAGGCTGAAGCAGGAGAATTGCTTGAACCCGGGATGCAGAGGTTGTTGCAGTGAGCTGAGACCACCACTGCACTCCAGCTGGCGAAAGAACGAGACTTCGTCTCAAAAAAAAGAGAGAAATGGTGAAGTAGAAAGGAAAGAAGCAGAATTTTACAAAGAATGTGCTTGAGGTTCTATAATCTGAAGTTTTGTGCTATTATTTATCACACAAAATTATATACAATCAGAAATGCAACTGGGAAAAACAAAAACAAGCTCTATTTTCTCTTTAATTTTCTCCTGGGTTTGTCACTTGATTAGAAACAGAATTTTGTCAAGCACAGTAGCTCATGCCTGTAATCCCAGCACTTCGGGAGGCTGAACAAGTGGGTCATCTGTAGTCAGGAGTTCGAGACCAGCTTGGCCAACATAGTGAAAACCTGTCTTTACTAAAAATATAAAAATTAGCTGGTGTGGTGGCACGTGCCTGCAATCCCAGCTACTCAGGAGGCTGAGGTAGGAGAATCACTTGAACCTGGGAGGCCGAGGCTACAGTGAGCCAAGACAGTGTCACTGCACTCCAGCCTGGGTGACAGAGGAGACTGTGTCAAAAAAACAAAAAAAGAAAAGAAAAAAGAAACAGAATTTGAAAATATAGGCAAGAAAGAGGTTAAAGCTTCTCTTTCATAGAGTTGTGTTATCATGGGACTTAGGGAAAAAGAGTTTTCTGAAAAGGAATTTTCTGCCTCTCATATTTGAATTATATTTGTATTCTATGGTTAGATCTCTCAATATTATATCCGGTCTTTTTGGTTTTCAAAAACAATACAAAATAATTTTTTTAAAAAAGTTGTAAGGCAATTGTGAAGTGGTGGAAAGTACATCCAGTTTAGAAGCAGAAGGCATAGCCTTTAGTTTTTGCTCTGTTCCTTACTGACAGTGTGACCTCTAGGTAGTTCTTTAAGCCTTTGTTTCCTCATTTGTACAATAAAGATGGCCCCAAAGGCTAAATAGAAAATATTTAATATATAACATGGAAGAGTATGTGTATACAAGGTCTTGCTACAAGAAGCCAATCTCATTCTCTTCTTTTGGGGACCTCTGCTTACTGACTTTGCCAGAGTGAGTGGCTGTGACCTTGGGCCAGTCCCCAACTCGACTGTCACCCACCAGTGCCCTCAGTGGTAGCAGGAGTGCGTGTCTGGGAGCTAGAGGAGATTCTAGTAGTGCAATCAGGCCAGCTTTGCTTCCTAACCAAACACCCTAGACTTGTGCTCTGCCCACAAGTCTTGGAATAGTCTCTAAGACGTAGGCCACACGTGGAGAATTAAGCATTTAAGACCTCCAGGGTCTGCTTGCCCCAGGTTTACGAAGAGCCCAGTTCCTAAAAGAACCACACTCCCGCGTGACTTAGGACCTCGAAAAAAGCGCTTGCTACACTCCAGACAAGATGTGGCACAAAAAACAAAACAAAACAGGTCGCCTCTACCAGCCCTCAAGTGAGGCGGTCATCCCCGCACCCCCCACCTCCCTCCGGCACCTATAACGCCAAATGCTGTGCTGGGTAAAATTAATTACCATAAACCTCTAGCGCTTTCTCTTCCATGATCCGGGGCTGCCGGGCAGCTCCCGACTCAGAGAGGCCCGAGAGCCACAGGACTCTGCTCAGCGTCCAGGAGAGCAGCCCAGACACCCGCTGCATCCTCACGCTCAGCCATCCCTGGCGACTGTCCCACTCGCGCTACCGTCTCTCAGCAGCCGGCCACGGGTTTGATCAACTTCCTGGTCTTCGAGTGGGCCGAGACTAGCCTAAAGGTTCAGGGGAGCAGAGAATAGGCGGGGCCGGACACGGAGTAACTTGGAGGACCTAGGGAAAGGACTACAAGTCCCAGAATGCTTTGCTCTGTTTCGGCGGGACAAGGAAAAGAATCTTCGCGGCTTGTTAGCACATTGCATGCTGGGATGCGTGAGCTATTTTCTTTGGAAGACAGCGAACTGTATTTTGGGACTTGTAGTGTCCACCGGGTAGAAGCGAATGTAACGGTTTGTTAACTGCCACTGATTATCTCATTCAGCATCTGTGATAAGCTAAAGATGAATCCCGAAGAGGTAGGGGAAAGGAGATCTTGAGTTCTAGTGCTGGAAGAGGTTTTCAGCACGGAGACTGTACAGTTATTTCTACGCGGGAGCCGCTAACAGCTAAAATCTTTGTTACTTCCTGATCGTACAGGAAGTGGGTGTCAGTTGCTCTGAAAAGGGATGTAGTGGGAAGCCTGTAAGGTAGTCAGGCATGGCATGCGGAAAGCTTTTTGGCTTCCTCGTCTCCTAAGGGATTCAGTCCAGCACAGCTTCCCACCTTGGAACGAATATTTCTGTTAATGGCCTTCAAAAACAACTTAAAGCAGGAGAACTTTTCCTGTGTCTAATGTATACAGTTGTGACATAATGGAGATCGCCATCCTTAAAAGTGTTATCTTAAGCCCTCTGGTGTTCGAGGGTGTCATGGATGCCAGTAACAAAATTGATGATTTTGTTTTATCCACCCATCCCTCCGATCAAATTTATAGGTACTAATTTGCCATGAGTGATCCGTAGGCATGGAAGATACAAAGATAAACAGCTCACCTGACCTGTAAGAGAGCCCATTTCTGAATTTGCAGTTACAAACAAACTCACTAAACCTCTTATCAAAGTTGGCGACAAATGCCATCTCTATTGAGAAGATAGGATTATCTTGCCGAATTGCCCCCTCCTAACATGCCTATTTATCTATAAACTCCAGTCTTGTCTAGTTGATGTAGGCTTTAGAATCACCAGACAATGAACAGCTTAGGTCCCAGGAAAATTTTGGTCAGGGTTTAATAATTTCCCTGCCGTCTATTTCACTCCAGTTACTCCACAGCAATTGAGAGGATAATCCTAACATTATCCCAGCCACATCTAGTACACTAAGGTCTCACCTCCTCTGTTAGGCCTTATGAATTCTCCAGAGTTGATTATCTTTTTTCCCTGTGCTCCCACAGCACATCATAGCATTGAACATGTTGAATTGTCGATTTACATAACTTTCTCCCTTAGTAAGTTATAAGCACCTAGCGGGCCAGGAACTTCTTTATTTCTTTATCTGAAACTCATAGCAAGGTGCCAGGCACACAATAGATGCTCAATATCTATATTACTGAATTAACTGAATGTTGCCCAAGAAGTAAGTGGTTAAACTTTCTTGCAGTCTTGTTTACAGACCTCAATCGAAATATTTATACACTCTCTGTTAGTGCACTGTGCTTGGCATGGGTTGATGGCACGTAGAGGTTTTCAAACGTTTTAGTGACATTCCTTCATTCCGACGAACTCTTAGAAGCCTGTTAGATAAAGCTATCCAGAGCACAAAGGGCCCAAGGAACCTGAGCACTCCGTAACTCCTACTTTTCTGCCCCTTTGCGCCCCGCCGTTAATATCTCAGCATCGCGATCCAGGTTTCTGATTGGCAGGGCAGCTTCCACTGGCAGGGTGCCGCGCCGCACCCAGCGCCTAGGCCCCGCCCTTGCGCCTCCGCCCCTCGGATCCCACGGGGTCCCTTGCGGCCCTCCCACTCCTCGCACCGTTGGATCGCTTTGCTCACGGCGCTCTCTCTCGATAAAGTTGTTGTTGCGGCTTCCGCCGCGAGTGGAGGAAGATGGCGTCGGGTGGTGGTGGTTGTAGCGCTTCGGAGAGACTCCCTCCGCCCTTCCCCGGCCCGGAGCCGGAGTCCGAGGGGGCGGCCGGGGGATCAGAACCCGAGGCTGGGGACAGCGACACCGAGGGGGAGGACATTTTCACCGGCGCCGCGATGGTTGTGAGTTCTCACCCCTCGGGGTAGCAGGCGAGAGGGCACCCCGAAAGGGAAGCGAGGCTAAGCGAGAATCGGGGAGGTTGGGGAGAGTGGGCCGGGTGAGATCTTGCCTCAGTGTTAGCAGTCCGGGCCCGGGGACCCTGGATGTGCTCAGAGTGGTGGGGCCTGGCTTCCCGGCCCCCAATCGGGAAGAGTAAAGAATAAGGGTTGTGGTGCCTTCGTCAGCTAGGTCCCTAATAGTCAAGAGCCGCCGACGCCGTCCTTTCACCCTATAGTGTGGTGACTCCACGGATCCACGGAGTTATTTTGCTGGTCTTGTCCTGCCAAGGCTGATTTAGTCGGTCAGAATAGGCGAATGGGATCCAGATCTTTCTCCAGTCTTACTCCTTCTAAGATGAATAACGTTACGTGGAGTAGCCGGGGGTGGTGACCCGCCCACCAATGCTTTCAGTAGCCCAGCATTTACCGACAATAACCAAAGGCCCTTTCTGGATCTTAGTTTACAAAAGTTGTGATTCTTCCGATCTCTGGGAAAATCAGGCCGGAGGTCAGAGGCTGGTGGAGAGGTTCAGCCAGATAAACCACTATACGGATCAGAAAGCTTTCTGCCTTTTAAAGGGATGCGTTCAAGTGCCGAAGTACCTCATTGGGAGCAGATCTGAAATGTGAGGAGGTAATGGTGTTTTCCCGTAGTGTTAGTAGGAGGAGAGCCATGACTGTAAGTTGTCCCGGTTCTTGGCGTTTTGACCACGTAATTGGACAAAACGCACAAAATAACAAAGGGATGAAACAAACGTAGGAGAGAAAGCAGGAATTTATTAAAGGGAGAAAGCACTCCACAGGATGGGAGTGGGCCGGAGCAAGGGGCTCAAGAGCCCACTTACAAAGTTTTCTGGGTTTTAAGTGCTCCTTTTGGGATTCCTATGGATTACCCCTTATCTAGATAAAGGATTTGGTATGTGGCTAATTAAAGGCTGAGGTGAATTAGCGTCCTGTACACCCGGCCGATCTAAGGCACGCTTCCTTTCCATCTGAGAAGTGGTCGAAGAGGAGGGTTGCAAGGATAGAGCCTTTGATCCTTTGTCATTTCGTTGGAGATGGGGTTTTTCCTTTTGGTTTAGCTTCAGAAAGTTGGCCTTAATTGGCCTTAGGTTCCCTTAGATTCTCTGTCCCCAGGGAAGTCAGCACGAATTGGCCTTCGATTCCTTGTCCCCAGAACTTGATGTTTACTATTTTAGAAAGTTAGCATATCCCAGCACTTTGGGAGGCGGAGGCGGGTGGATCATAGGTCAGGAGAGCCAGACCATCCTGGCCAGTATGGTGAAACCCGTCTTAAAAAGAAAAAAAAGGCCGGACGCGGTGGCTCAAGCCTGTAATCCCAGCACCTTGGGAGGCCGAGGCGGGTGGATCACGAGGTCAAGAGATCGAGACCATCCTGGTCAACATGGTGAAACCCCGTCTCTACTAAAAATACTAAAAATTAGCTGGGCATGGTGGCTTGTGCCTGTAATCCCAGCTACTCAGGAGGCTGAAGCAGGAGAATTGCCTGAACCCAGGAGGCAGAGGTTGCGGTGAGCCGAGATCACGCCATTGCACTCCAGCCTGGGTAACAAGAGCGAAACTCCGTCTCAAAAAGAAAAGAAAAGAAAAGAAATGCATAAATTGGCTTCAGATTCCCTGCCCCTAAACCTTAGTGTTTTTCCTCGATTCGGCACAAATTGCCCTTAAGTTCCCTGCCTCCAGACCCTATTCTCCTGCCTCAATAATAAATATCCAGGTCTCTAATGAGAGTTAGGTATTGGAAAAAACTAATTTTTGTAATGTGGAAATCAGTAATCAGTTATGGAACCAGTAGAGATGTTTTGGTCTGTTTTATGAGAATATTTACTTATACCACTTGATACAGGTTGTTCCATACTGTAAAATTCAACGCTGGGTCTGTGAATTTATCTGTTTTGCATAATGCTTCTCTTCCTAGTAGCTACTCAGTGTGTAACCAACTAAATAAAACAGCTACAAATTCTTTATGCAACATGTAGTCTGAAAAAGTTTGAGGCTTTCTTCACTTATGTCAGATTTTCCCTGTCCTGTATTCAGAAATTGAGTCCATAATCTCAGCTTATAAGGTGCTTGATAATTCTAATAAAACAACTGAAACTGTCAAATGAAGTCTGTTATTCTGAAAAATACTAACTTTTTGTGACTGTCATAAAACAGGAAAAACTTGTTTGTTTTTGGAGCTGTAGTCTCCCTGTGTTGCCCAGGCTCGTCTTGAACTTCTAGGTTCAATGGATCCTCCCTTTCTCCCAAGTAGCTGGGACTGCAGGTGCATGCCACTCGCCCTGAGAAATAATAGTTCTTGCTGCTAGTTTAGTCTTTTTGCATGTTACTTAAAATAAATATTTAGTCTCTTCCTTAAAACCGCTTGAATGATGTACAGACTGAGAATATGAAAACAGAAACTCTGAAACTGAAAGTGATTGGTTACATAGGCAAACGTTGATTTATTTTCCAAAAAGGAACCTGTAAGGGTGAGGAGTTATTTTCTAGAGTTATCTAAAGCAGTGGCCGAGTGTGGTGGCCCACACCTGTAATCCCAGCACTTTGGGAGGCCAAGGCAGGAGGATCACTTGAGGCCAGGAGTTCAAGACCAGCCTGGCCAACATGGCGAAATCCCATCTCTACTAAAAATACAAAAATTATCCAGGCATGGTGGCATGTGCCTGTAATCCCAGATAGGGAGGCTGAGACACAAGAATCACTTGAACCCCAGAGGCAAAGGTTGTAGTGAGCCAAGATTGCACCACTGCACTCCAGCCTGGGTGACAGAGTGAGACTCTGTCTCTAAATAAAAAAATAGAATTTTTAAAAAAGAAGTGCAGGAGGCTTCAGTTTAATTCATCTTACCATACTTTATGGAGTTATCAATACCACTTTTTTTGTAAGACTGTAAAAATCCTTTGTCTAATTTCCAGCTAAAAGGGAGTTAAGGAGGTCAGAATGACCTTGTTCTACCACAGAAAGCATAATTATTTTTATTTAGATATGATCTAAGAAAACTGAATTGCTAAGGAAACTAAAATACCACCTGTAAGCCATTTTTCTAGCTACCCAACCTCATGTTCATCTTCAGGAAGCCAAGACCCCAAGATACCTCACTAGTTTAACTGTCTTGTTAAACAGCCATAAAGAACAAATTATAATCCAATTAATGCTTTAGTTGTGAGCCAGAGAAGATAGAGGATTGAAGTGCTTGTGGTATTTTAAAGAACAACATTGAAGAATAAAGTAAGAGCATGGGCTTTGAAGTCTGATTTAAATCTAGGCTCTATGGTTTGCTAGTTTATCCTTGGACACAGTACTTAATTACTCTCTACAGTTTCCTCACCTGTAAAAAGTGAATAATATGGCTGGGCAAGGTGCAAGGTGGCTCATGCCTGTAATCCCAGCACTTTGGGAGGCTGGGGTGGGCGGATCACTTGAGGTCAGGAGTTCGAGACCAGACTGGCCAACATGGTGATTCCCTGTCTCTACTAAAAATACTAAAATTAGCCAGGTATGATGGCGGGTGCCTGTAGTCCCAGCTATTCGAGAGGCTGAGGCAGAAGAATTGCTTGAACCCAGAAGGCAGAAGTTGCAGTGAGCCGAGATCATGCCACTGCACTCCAGCCTGGGTGACAAGAGTGTGACTCCATCTCAAAAAAAAAGAAAAAAGAAAAAGTGAAGAATATTAGTTTTTACCTCTACCACTACTGTGAAGTTTAAATTAAAATGCCTGCAAAGCACTTAGGACAGTTCCTTCCATAATAAACACTTAAAGAGTGCTTACTTTTTGAAGGCATGAGCTGTATTTGTTGGTGAGCATTTTGTAAACTGGCATTACTCTAAAATCAAAAAAACCCACAAAATCTAATAGTGTATTAGAAAAGTTAACCTTAAAAATGGATAATACAGTTGATCAAAGTCAAAACTAACTATTATTAGCCTGGCATGGTGGCGTAAGCTACTTGTGAGGCTGAGGTGGGAGGATCACTTGAGCCCAGGAGCTTGAGGCTGTGGTGATCTGGGATTGCACCACTGCACCTAGTCTGGGCAAAAGAGTGAAACCTCATCCCTAAACAACAACAAAACTAGTAATATTTATTTGATTAGCTAAAGCCATCAAATAGACACTTAATGACTTCATAGCTTTTGTTTTTGTTTTTGAGACAGATTCTCAGTCTTTTTGTCCAGGCTGGAGTACAGTGGCACAATTTGAGCTCACTGCATCCTCTGCCTCCTGGGTTCAAGTGATTCTCCTGCCTCAGCCTCCCGAGTAGCTGGGATTACAGGCATGCACTACCATGCCTGGCTAATTTTTGTATTTTTAGTAGAGACAGAGTTATACCATGTTGGCCAGGTTGGTCACAAACTCCTGACCCCAAGGGATCCACCTGCCTTAGCCTCTGAAAGTGCTGGGATTACAGGTGTGAGCCACTATGCCCAGCCAACTTCAATAGCATTTTACTAATTTAAGTTAATCTTCATCTTTTATTTTGTTGCATATTGGAGACAGAGAGGGGCACTGAAGCATTTTGAAGCTGAGGCATGTAAAGTTTAAACTAATTTATGGCATGCCTGTAATGTTTTGGGCATTGATACAACTACTGCTCTTAATCATCCCATCTGCTCTCTTTTACAGCCAAGGAGGCTTTGTTAATTCAGCAATTAAAATGTGGTTTCATTTATAATTGAAAGAGCAGTCTTAGACTTGCATCTCAGAATGTATAAACCAGTTACTTAAATGGGAATGACTCTGCCAGGCACTGTGGCTCACGCTTGTAATCCCAGCACTTTGGGAAGCTGAGGTGGGCAGATCACGAGGTCAGAAGTTCAAGACCAGCCTGGCCAATATGGTGAAATCCTGTCTCTACTAAAAATACAAAAATTTGCCAGGCATGGTGGCATGCACCTGTAATCCCAGCTACTGGGGGGCCTGAGGCAGGAAAATGGACTGAACTCAG